TTAAAAAAAAAAAAAAAAAGGTGGATGCTATTCTCTTGAAAGCAGCTGTACCAGCGAGAAGGCAGGGTGGGCTCACTGACATGCCATGCAGTTAGCACTGAGGTGGGTCCAGGGGGCAGTGGCCGTGAGGAGCCCGCAGAGGGGCCAAGAGCCTGCTCTTTGGCTTCTGGCTGATAAGAGGGACCCAACCATAAATGGGGTGAGGGAACTGGTGGTAAATGGATTCATTCCTCTGCTTCCAGCCTCTAATCGGACCTGCTAAGCATGGTACTAATCAAAAGAATAATTTACTTAATTGCACGAAACCATCCTGTGAGCTAACTTAGCTCAACTGTTCCCCATTAGCCAGCCGGGCTTCCCAGGGCTGCGCTGATGAGATGCTAAAAGCTCACTGCGTGATGGGCCGACTCCTGCCGGTCACTTACACAGGGGCCAAAATGGGGGCCACAGGCCAACTCTGCTTGTGACCCAGGAACTAATGGGTTTTATATCTTAAAACAGTTGATGGGAAGAAAGGAGCTAAAGATGTAGGGAAGGTGGGATGGATAGGGGAAGGGTAATAAGGGAAAAGAAAAAATGTGAGATAATGAAAAGATGGAAATAAAGTATTTGTAGATGGGGAGGGGAGAAGGGGGTGAAGGGAGGGCAGGGCTAAGGGGAAAAAATGAGAATCAAGACTTGTCATGTAGAGGTACAAGATCCCAACAATGAATGTAACTGTACTGTATCCCTAAAATGTACCAATAAACTCAATTAAAGCTGGAAAAAAAAAAACAGTTGAAAGTAACCCAAGGAAGAACAGTACTTCGTGACATGATAATTACATGAAATTCAAGCCTTCAAGTTTTACTGGTGCACAACCACCTTACCCGTGTCGCCTCAAGCACGCAGCTGCCCACACCCCCATTCTCTGGCCTGACAGGAACAGTCTGCTGAGCCCTGACTCACAGCTGGGCCAGGCCAAGGTCTCACACAACAGCATCCCCAGCAGCTCGGGTCCCAGATCACTCAGGGTAATTCCCATGAACAAGGTCATCTCAGTGGCTGGGGCTACACTACAGCTCAGTGCAGAACACTTGCTTAACCTATGGAGGTCCTGGGTTGGATCCCCAGCACTGTAAATCAAAAAGGAAAAAAAAAAAAAACTGAAAAAACACAAGGTAATCTTTACACTTAAGTCTACAAAGAAACTAAAGTTTAGGTTTCAAAACCACGTCAGTGAGATTCATATGACTGCAGCTCAGAACTCAGTTAAGGCTCCTTTCGTTTGGGGAAATTTGCCTTAGGAGATGGAAACCCGGCTGGTTTCTCTCAGAACCCTTCACACGCAGCTGGCTGAGAAAGCCCCAGAGAGCGCTAGGTGTCATTTTTGTGTTCCTGAGACATTTCGTCATAGGGGTTCTAGTTGGCATCCTGCGACCTTTCCCCCATATCTTTTTTAAGGCAATGGCTAAGACGGAACCCCAAAGAAGCCTGAGGCCTTGTTCCCCTCAAAGTCAGGCAGGGGCAGGCTTTGTGTCCCACCATTCCCGAAGTCCAGGGGAAGCAGGCAAGGGCAGCGTCTCCCTCAGCTCACCCGCCTGAAGCCCAGGATGCAGGTGATCACAAACCTCTGTGCTTTCTTTGGCTAAAACACAAAAAGGCTGGGCTCCATTATGGGAGCTCCTTTTAAGAAACAGCAGACATATGTTATGAGTAGATAAATAAAGTGAACATCTATATTGAATCCTTGGATTATCATGGCAGCAGAAAGTATGGAGAGAGAGGCAGAAACCACCCAGAAAGGAAATTATTCAGCTCGCCCCACCACAGAGTTCGAGACAGCATCTGAGGCCTGCGTTTCCTTTTCCAGTCATGGAGCAATGAAGAATCATTTCACGGAGTGAGATACAGTCTAAAGCCAGGCGTGAAGTCAAGGTAAAAGACCTCTGGAGCAGGCAGTGGTACCTTGGAGATGTTTTCCCATCAAAGGACAGAGAGAGAGCTTGCAACAGGACTGCCTGCCAGGGACGGGAGACTAGAGCCGGACGCAGTGTTGGGGCTGGTGGGGCAGCTGTCAACTGCAAACAGCCAGCGGCCCAGCTGCTCTGCTCTTTCTGCCCCTGACTCCACACAGTTGCCACTGGTACCGTGTGCCCTACCCGTGGCCTGGAAAGCCCGAACTGCTGGTACAGCAGTGTATGCTGGACCCAGGGGTGTACTGTGTGACAGGGACGGCATCTGCTCTCAGACTAACCCTAACTGAAGCTAGCACAAAAGGAGGTCTTTCTTTGGACTGCCACAAAAAACCATGGACATAGCGAGCTGAGGTTAATAAAGCTTCAGAGAACAACTCCAAACAGTAGGTTACTCAGAAAGCATCCAGGAAAAATGGATTTTTCTGAGGGCAAAGCAGGCAGTAGGGACAGGAGAACAAACACAGTGACTTCTGAATGGGGCCATTTAGCTGATTTATGAACGATCTCACCAGTGTCCCGGCTGCAGGAGACTGATGTCTCCTCTTTCTAATGCTGGGGTCCACAGACTTGTTTTCTGGGGAACCGAGGAATAAAGTCCAAAGATGCACAGTCATTATTTTTCAAACATTAATGAACTGGAACCTAATTAGGACTTTGGAAGATCCCACTGCCCAGGGAAAGCTTTTCTCTCTGAAGTCAGCATGGTGCAAATGGAGGAAAATGGAACAAAGCCCTCCTTGGATGTTTTGCGAGCCTTGGGGCTTCTGCTTTCTACTTTGTAGATCGAGAGGCCAATGAGACAGAGACACCTAGAGCTGCTTTCACACACACACACATCGATGATCAGATGCGCCAGCCACCTCTAACCTAGCGGCAACCTGTGCTTACCAGGCCTCCCCCAGCCTGCACCGAGGTCGCCCACATCGCTGCTAGTATTTCATGCATTCGTGCATTTAATACAAAGTGCACATTAGCCTGCTGGGGTGAGGGAGCTGAAAGCTTACAGCAGAGACCACTCATCTGTTGGGCTAGAGCAGCAGCTGGTGAGTTATTCTAGAAGTCAGGTAAAGAAGGGAGTTATGCAGAAGAGGTACATATGTAATTAAACATTTTGGGTTTTAACTTAATTTATATAAACAGACATCATTTGCTATCTTTGAAAAAAGTATGGCTAAAAAAGTACGCTAATTAGTTTTCTACGTCATCTAGTCTCATACACTACACAATTCACTGTCTTTAAGACATTTATAAAGCAATTTGAGTACAAAATGTTCCTAAGTTTCAGGATTTCCTCTGCTTTTTTATAGTTCTCATCCAAAGAGCAAAACTTGGACTTCTCCAGGTCTTTCCAAAATAGTTTACAAAAAGACAACACTTTTCTTTTTTATGTTTGTATTTGATCAGTTGACCCACGATTTAATAAAGCTGCATGATTACAACAACAGGTGCAACTGCAATCCTAGGTCTGGGGGAGTACAACCCCCGGCGGGGCCACAGGAAGAAGTGGTGCAGGACAATGTGCATGGCGCCCTAAGGTGGTAAGCATGCTTTCTGCAGGGGAAGGAAGGCGAGATGGCCGTGGGAGAGGGTAAGAGGGCACACGGACAGGCCGGTCTGGAGCGGGAGCGGAGACAGAGCTAGAGAGCCAGCGTCCGGTGTCAACATCCACCCAGCCAGCTGGTAGTGGAAACCCTGAGAAGGAATGCATTCGTGGAGAAAGCATGGACAGGGGAGAGAGGAAGGCTGAAGTGGTGAGCAGGAGAGGCTTCTGCAAAGGGGACCCAGGGACCCAGCAGGTGGCTTCAAAGGGCCTCGTGCAAGACTGAAGTCCAGGATGCAGGAACTGCAAAGATTCCTGGACTTGACAATTGGGGGTGTGGATGGGTATGAACTGCAGTGCACCTGTGATTCCACTGCAAGCAGCAGACACCCTGTAATCTCCCACACCTTCAGTCCCTCTTCCTCCAGCCCCGCGACCAGTTCTCACTGTCCGCCCACCACCCCTGGGCACTGTCAGGCACATAGGCCTGCCCAGGCTGCTGGCCCCAGGGCTCGAGCTCTGCCCTGACTCTACTGGTGCAGGGAGCCCAGGCCGCTCAGCCCCTTACCCAAAAGCAGCTCACTTCCTCTGAGGCCCGGGCAGTGCCTAATGCAATGCCATCTAAGAGGCCTCCGCACACACTTGTGATGGGATAGAATGAAATCTGAGCTTCGCTGGAAGGCTTCAAAACAGGCCGTTCAGAAGCTCCCAGCAGAGGCCCAGGAAAGAAGTCTACATGGCGAGCTGCGCCACCAGTCCCATCAATCCCAGCCCCCACGCCGGTGGTCCTGCCGCTGCCCATTTCACTCCTCAGACACACGGAGACACACCCTGGCACACGATGTGGGTGCAAAAGGCACGTGGAAAAGGAAAAGCTGCCACGCTACACCACTGAGGCTCCACTCAGCAACGTACTGACAAGCAACAAGGAAACAGCTAGCAGCTCTGGGATGTGGAAATTCCCCGGGGTTTAAGTGACAGCTGCCTAGGTCCAGCAGGAGGACGAATGGCTGCGATATTTGAGTCATCAGTGCCACTCAGGACCACTGTTCGCTTCAAGAGCTAATGATCTACATGCTCCTCAGCTCTCTGCTGCATCCAAGATTAATGTAGATTTGTAAACAAATAACCAGGGAGACGAGGGATGAAAAGACTTTTGAGTCTCAGGATGACACACTGGCCAGCTGCCTCCCGAATTCCATCTCCTGCTCCTACCGCCACAAACAGGGATTCAAGGCAGAAACCTGGGGTGAGGATCTGATCCCAGACACTCTTCCAGGGAAGGCCTGGAGCTCAGGTCACAGGGCCTCCCACACAAGCAACACCCTTCTGCCGTGGCTCTAGTCACCAGGGCTCATGGACCCACAGGGGCACAGAGATGGGGAGCGCCATGCTGCCCCTCGTCCACCCCGGCATCAGGCACGCGTCAGATCTAGCGGGAAACACTGACCTGATCCAAGCGGAGTGCGCCGTCCGTGAAGCGTTGCTGGCGGAGTCGCTTTGCGATCCTGTGCAGGTTCAGGACGGCCCGGTGCACCTCCTCGCTGCTGTGTTCTGGGGAGATGGGGGGCAGCTCCTGCTCAGGGATCTTCTCAGCTGGCCGTTCGATCATGCTCTGCGCATGCTCGTAGCTCAGTTTGGTGCAGGAGCGGATGATGGTGCGGCCAAACCATTCCTCCAGGATCTGCAAAGCAGACAGCTTGTGAGGGAGCAGGGAGGAGACTTTTTCCAGGTTTTTCTTCATCCCACCATTTACCCATATATATTCATATATTTATCCAATGAAGATTTACGGAGCACTATTGCTCAGAACAGTGTCACACAGAGGAGTCAGACAGAAGCTGATGTCACACAGAAGCTGGGACCCTGCCAGGCTGTGACTGAGCTCACCAGGCCCCGGAGGTCTCTGGACATCCTCAAGCACACGGCCAGGCCACAGGGGGAAATATTTTCATTAGCCATCAACGTCACAACCGGAGAGACAAGAATGGACAGCTGCCTGAGACCCTGTGATGTGACACCCAGGGCTGGGAGGGCTCCATCACGGCCCCGGGAAGGAGAGAGAAGTCAGGCTCCCTGACAGAGACAGCACAGGTGGGGGGGCAGAAAGGGGACAACGCCATCTTGTTCTATAGAGAGGGACAGAACGGGGCTTCTGAACCCCGCACTGTTGGAGTAATCCCTTGTTGTGCGGGGCTGTGTATTATACAATGTTCAGCAGTGCAGGGTGTGGTGGCACACACTTTGATCACAGCAGCCTAGGAGGCTGAGGCAGGAGGATTGAAAGTTTGAGCCCCACCTGGAAAAGTCAGCAACTTAGTAAAACTCTGTCTCTAAAAAAAAAAATAAAAGTTTTGCAGCATCCCTGGCCCATAGAACCACGCCCAACATAGAGTCAACAACCCAAAATGTCTCCAAGACATTGCCTGATGTCTTCTGGGGGAAAGAGGCCAGGCTGGAGGACACACAACAACCCAGTCTGGTGGCGGTACTTGCTCAATAGCAAGGTCACTAACGAGGTGTACTGTCTTCCTTTAATTGTCTATCACAAGCCTTAATATTTAAAAAAAGTCTAAATCCAACACTGTTAACATTTGAGACTCTTGAGTGTCATGTGCAAGATTCTGATGAGAAAATCTACAAGACATCCAGGGTGCTGGGCACAGGCTGGTCTGGGGGAGGACCCCACCCCAGGGCCCTGGGAAGGAGGTGATAGAGTGGAGGCTGCATTTCTCATACCTCCAAGTAGAGAGCAAGGAAGAGAAGTGAGGGAACGAAACCAGAAGCCCATGAGGGTTTGCAGAGGAGAGAGGCAGGGCATGGCCAGTGTTAGGGAAGTGTGAAAGAAGAGCTTCAGGAAGGAGGGGTGTGAACAAGCAGCACAAGACGCTTGCATAGCACTTCCTAGGAGACAGGCACCGGCCACTCTTCACAGAGCAGTGGCTTAATCCTCACAGTCCCCGCCAGGAAGGTATCTTAGGATACTCATTCTTCAGACAAGGAGACCATGGAACAGAGAGATTAAGTAACCTGCCCAGGCCACTCTGCCGGAGGCTGGCCAAGCCTGCGACCACACCATGGCGGTCAGGTTAGGGAGCCCAGGGAGCAACCAGTGTGGACCATGCCGAGGACAGCAGGACGGGGGACAGGCTGCAGGGTGAGGAGAAGCAGTCAGCAGAGAAGGAAGACTGAGGACACAGCACGGAGGGAACTGGGGCCAAGTGGAGGGGGGCAGAGGAGGACAGGCCTGGGGGAGGGAAGAGGAGGGACAGAGGGTGCTCACTCAGAGGCCCAGTGACCTGCGCAGGCCCAGATGAGGGGGTGGACAGGGCTACAGGGCCCGAGCAAATGGGATCAGGATCCCAAGCGAGCGGTGACAGCAGTGACATGACAGTGATGAGTGATGACTGAGAAGAGAGCACCAGTCTGGAGTGGGACCTTCCAGGTGGGTTTGAAGATGCCTCCTGGAACCTGATCTTCCCAGGCCAAACCTCTCTGCTCACAGTCTTGCAGGCATTGCCCTGCAGAAATGGCCTTCAGGTGGGTTCCCACGTCCTCCCACGGGGACAGCCCAGCCCAGAAGCCCACCACCCATGGGGCCTCCGTGGGACCCAGCTGCTACCAGGAAGGCTACCCTGTGGTTGTCCCCTCCATTAAGGCAGGAACAGACAGTTGAAATTGGTAGCCATGGGGGACGGGGAAGTAGCCAGACACATTTCTTACTCATTCAGTGCAAAGAGCCTTGTAAGAGTTTTGAATCTGTAATATGACTTTAGTTTTTTTTTTTTCCCCCTAAAAATACCGAAATTATACTTTTCAGATTATTCCAAGAATGATCCCTATCCAAAAATACAAGGGACTCAGGATGTGTCTGAGTCTTCTACTGCGTCAGCACGTGCTGAATTTGGCTCTCAGGAGGTGTTCGGTGCCAATTCCAGGGGTGCCCAATAGGCTGGGTGCTAGTGTGGCCTCCAGAGGGGTCTGCAGGTCTTCCAATTGGAGCACACCCGTGCCAGCCTCCTCTCGAATGACAGGGCTGAGACCTCCTCATCCCTGTGGTCTCAAAGTTTTCCCCTGGAGAGTCAGCTTGTCTCCTTTCCTCCACTCTTGCAAGCCCAGGTGTCCACACTGTGCTGGAAGCCTGTGTTAGGAGAGCTCGGGGCAGCAGCTCCCACTCTACCCCACACCTCCTTCTCGCCATCCCACATGGGCCTGTGGATCCTCCTGTGCCCAGGGCCCCTAGGGCCTCTGTCTCCGTCCCTACGGGATGCACTGGACAGGTGAGCACGGTGCCCTGCAGCAGCATCCATTTCCCACAAGCTGGGGGGTTAAGAACAGCGCCAAAATCCTGGAAGCTCCAGGCCCTCTTGGAGCTGCTGGCAGATGCTGCAGCATGAGGGTGTGCTGCTTCCTGGGGACCCCGAGTGCTGTGCCGACAACAGCCGCCTGCAATGCCACAGTCCTCTTCAAGCGTCCCACCTGTCCCCGGGCAGTGTCGCCCTGCCTGCCCCTTGCAGCACGTTTGCCTCGACTGATGGGCTCCTCCGCCTCCTCAGGCAGTGCACATGACACCACCAAAGCTGTGCCCTCCGGGCTGGCCTCCCATGGCACCTTCACCTCTCTGCAGCCCCTCCCCACCACATGGGCACCTTGGAAAATCTGTCCTGGCTGTCACTTTAAACACACACAGGGCTGAGAGCCAGCAGGGACTCCCCGCTCATCGACAGGGCCCCTGCAGCAGAACCTGCCCAGGGGACACAGTGCAGTGGCTCTGGGACGGACCTGAAAAGATGTCCCGAAAGCCATCTTGGGCAGAAGGGTGGGCCTGGCACTGCCTGTGGGCAGTGGCTGCTGAACAAGAAGGGACCCACAGCACTCAAAAAGCAAGGGTCCACGCGGAGGGGACGGGAGGCAGCTGCTCGGGACACGATAGCTCATTAGGTTCTTATTTGGGAACTACTCACATCAGCGCCTGGTCCATAATCAGCGCCAGTGGCAGAAGACAAAGGACAAGGGGTTGTTCATGGAAAAGAAAAAAGCCACGAGGAGATGCATAAACAAAACGCCTCAGAAAGAAGACCGTGTCCTGTCCTTTGCTTAATCACGGGATCTGGGTCACCCCATGTGCAGGCCGTTTGCCTGGTGGCCTCTGGACACTGCTCTCAGGGTGTCAGGCTCAATCCAGGGCTGACACGGCCCGAGGCCCCCACCTCCGGACCCGGGCTTCCTCCTGCTGCCCAGCACACAGCACAGCCCGCCCCGGGGGAGCACACTACTCTGCCTGGTTTATACCTGCAAGGACAGGCCAGGGATTTCTCCAAGACAGATCCACATCTGAAGACCGAGACCCAAAATCAAACGCTATTTTTTCTTAGATTTAGCCGAAGCTCATAAAATGGATGGCACAGATGATAAGGTAAAATAAGCCAAGTGCATTTCTATGTGCCCACCTTGCACACGCTGCGCCTTGCTAGAGTCTGCAGATGAAAAGGTGAGAGGAAACGCCTCAGTGCCCGTTCAATTCTGTGCAAATGGATTCTAACTAGAACAAAAGCAGGCTGCTTTTGACTGGTGGAAGGTGGGGTGGAGCTGATCTCTGAGGCTTCTCCCAGCTCTGAGTGCAAAGCCGACATCCTGGGGACAGTGTGGTTACAAAAGGAGTCAGAGGTGCTAAGAAGAAAGTGCCTGAAAAACACGGGGCGAGCTGGATGTGGTGGCACATGACTATAATCTCAGCACTTTGGGGGGCTGAGGCAGGGCGACTACAAGTTTGAGCAAGCTCACAGTGGGAAACTTAGCAGGGTCCTGTCTCACTGGCGGGGGGGGGACTGGCAATGCAGCTCAGTACGAAGGCCCTGGGTTCAATCCCCAGTACCGAAAAAACAAAACAAAAACCTGGGCAGAAAGAGGAGGGGCTGGAAGACATCAAGGGGCAGAGCACGTCTGTGATGGAAAGGAAATAGACTATTCCTAGAGAAGGCCCTGTCACTGCAGTGGGCAGAGGCTGTGCGGTGGCTGGGGAATGAGCCTGTGCCAGGCCCACTGTGACCCAGGGAGCCCAGGTTTCCTAAAAAAAAAAAAAAAGCCACCAGGCTCTGATGAAGCTGTAAAGAGCAGGATGATGCTCACTGCGCTCCATTACCTGGGGCGGTGCCCTTTAGCCCTGCAGAGCTCCGGGCCAAGGTGATTGGTCTCCAGAGGGAACCCAGAGCCCCTGCCGAAGGGCCAGGAGGGAGCATCAGCGGCAGAGGGCTGTGTGCCCGCCAGCCTGCTTCAATTCCTAAGTTTGTTTATGTGCTAGAATTCTCCAGAAGATTTATTTGTACAGAGAAAAATCCTCTGACTGTGCTGTACACTCCTCCGCTCTCTGAAGTTGCTTGGCTGCTGGTCCCAGGTCCCTCCCCATCCTAACCTGCGGGGCCATCTAACCTTCTGAGCCCAAGGGGAAGGCACTGAGGACACTTCCCCAGTGCCGTGGAAGGAGCCCCCGGGGGCCTTGGACGTGGCCAGGACAGGGATCCGTTCCTGTGACCGTCAGTGAGGGCCGTGGGAGGGTTCCCTTTCCAGAGGATAGCCGGAGGAGTCCGTCCTTCCTCCCTCCCTCCATCCCTTCTTCCCTCCCTTTCCCCTTCTTCAGGTCTTGGGATTGAACCCGAGCTCTTTGAACTGAGCTTCATCCTCAGC